GCACTGTGCTACTAGCCTCAGAGAGTAAAACTACAAAGTTTTAAAAGTTCCTGCCCTCAGGGAGCTGATTTTCTACTATGTTGACAAGTGTTGCCATGGCTATTGTCAGGAAATGAGATGTCAAATGCCTAGACTCGATGCCATGGCATTTCTAATTTCATTTTTCTGTAACTTTCAGTTCTAAATTGGTCAAGAAGCTTTTTATTTCATTTTCATTTCATCTTTGTTTGGTACCCCACTTCATTTAGGTGGTTGTTCAGTGGTTTTAGTTCTTGGTAACCCCATTTGGAGTTTTCTTGGCAAAGATACTGGAGTGGTTTGACATTTCTTTCCCCAGTTCATTTAACAGACGAGGAAACTGAGGCAAACAGGATTAAGTGACTTGCCCAGGGTCTGAGTAAGTGTCTGAGGCCAGATTTGAACTCAGCAAGATGAGTCTTCCTGACTGCAGTCCCAGCTCTCTATCCACTGTGGTACCACCTAGCTACCCTCATTTAGGTCAGCAACATTCGATTCTTGTCATCCCATAGACAAAGGGGTTCTTTTAAAAATATATATATTTTAACAACTATCTTTCAATATGGTTGATGTCTTTTGTAATCTTATTTTTTTTCTTATGCATTTAATAGCATGATTCTGGGAAAAGGTCCCTTAAGAACCTTTAGAGAATCCATTGACCTTAATGAGATCTCCAGGGATGACTGAAGAATTCCTGGAAAAACTCTAAAAGATTGGAAATCACTTTCTTTTCCTGCCATTGAAGAAGAGGGGTTTGCAAGAGGGTGGGGAGAGGGTGCAGGGAAGGAGGGGAAGGAGAGGTTCAGTGAAATGGCTGGGGCTGGGTGGGTTGGGATTTCTGAGCGAGGAAATCATTGCTTTAGCAAGTAATCAGGAGTCAGCTCCTCCAAGGCTCCTCTCACCTCCTCCAAGGCGCCTCTCACCTCCCTGCTTTGATGTGTGGCTCTCTAACCCGCCTATCATTCTCACTACCCCAGTGTCAAGGACAGGCGTTTCTGAGCCGAATCTGTGGCCAAAGCTGATTCAAGAAAGTCACCTAGTTTGACCCTTCTCCTCAGATCTTTAACATCTGAGGTTAATTGGAAAGTGTCTCTGAGAGGTGTTTTCCTTGCAGTATTTTTGTGGCTGATGGGATTTCTGGGATGATGTCTTCTTCTATTTCCTTCACATCTTTCCTGACCTCCAAATCCATGTCAAGGATGATAGTTGCCTCTTTTGGACTGAAATTCTTATTAAATGACCCAAGTGAATATTTGTTTTCTCTACCATTGTGGACCCCCTTCTTTTGCCACATTATAGGGGATGGTGGTGGACCACTTAACCATGCTGAATTTCTGGGGTCTTCAAACCATTTTTAATATGTCCATGATGTCAGGGTGTCTGTCTGTCTTGTTTAATTTTCCAGTTGTTACTATCACTGCTCACTTCAGCTTTTGACAGCTCTTATTAGGTTAAAAAAAAAAGAATGATTATTGTAGGTGCTCAATCAATGTTTGTGGATTGGATGATTGATTAAATTTTCAATCAACCACACACTGACTGTATGGCCTTACACAAGTCATTTTACTCCACAGGGGCCCCAATTTCATCCTCTGCAAAGACACATCATGCAAAGTGCTTCTTAGGCCCAGAAGGACTACAGAGCCACCTACTAAACGTGGGACCTTTCTCAAGTCATTTACCCTCCGGGGACTTTGGTTTCCTCCTCTGGGGAATGAGGCCACCAAACAAACTATGCCCAGATGGAATGGGCTGCCCTGCACTAGAAGTCTACCAGTCTGTCCATGTCACTAACTCAGGAAAAAAACCAAACCAAACCATTAATCCTCCCACTGCCCCAGGTTGTAATACCAGTGCTTCAGCCTTAGCACCAGCTCCAGACTACTTCTTCAAGATTGTTTTACATGATGGTTCTTGATACCCTAAGCTCCAGCTAAATGGGCCCATTGGTTCTTTCCAATTCCTTTTCCCATTCTCATGCCTTTGCACAGACTTACCCCTGAGGGACTAATGTTCTCCTTGCCCACTTCCAACTGAAGTATTTCTAACCATCTTTAAAGTTTACCTCAGAGGAGCAGCTAGACGGTGTAGTGGATAGAGCACTGGCCCTGGAGTCAGGAGCACTTGAGTTCAGATTTAGCCTCTGGAACTTACTAGCTAGCTGTATGACCCTGGCCAGGTCATTTAACCCCAATTGCCTCAAAAAAAAGTTTAGCTCAGGTACCAGTGCTAAATCTAAAGTAGAGGACCAGGGTTTAAATCCTGCTTTTCATATTATTAGCTGCATGACCTTGGACACCTCATTTCCTCTGTTTCCACATCTATAAGATGTTTAGATTGTATGACTTCAAAGTTTCAGTTTAGTTCTAATCTATTTTTCTAGTATCCTATAAGAATCTCTTGTCAGTACCCTTAGTTGGGATTCTTTCTCTCATCCTTAAATTATTCTTTGTTGTCTGTATTCCCGAATCAAATGGAAGGTCCTTGAGATTAGGGGCTATTTTCATTTCAGCTTTTTAAACCCAATCCTCCAGTGCCTAGCACAACACCTGGCACATAGTAGGTGCTTAATAAATCTACTTGTTGAAATTGATTGAATTGGAAATTGTAGGGGGTTTACCTGATTTAAGTAAGAGATTCAGTGTTTTTAATTTCCTCCAAGTTTCATGTAATTCATCATTGTCTTTGAGACTAACAATAATGCTTAGTATTTGCAGTGCAAGTTACCTGAAGGATTTTAGAAATGCTGACAGATTGTTCATCTCCACACTGTGGGGAGAAGTGTGCATGGAAAGCGAGAGCTTTGCCACTGTTCTGAGAGAGGAACTAAGGGCCAGCCTGCTTCATGATCTTCTGCATTTTACACATTCCTAGGGCCCAGGTAGGAATAGAAACTGGCCTTCTGGAGAACTGAATCTGAATGGATTGACATATTAGGTATTGACACTTCCCCCACTTACCAGACTAAGTCAATGATGCTTTTTTTCTTTCCCAGAATGGGTAGTTTTTATCAATCAGTAAACAGTGACGTAAATGCTGCCATCTCTTACATTATAGGTGTTTTGCTAGACATGGGGCATACAGAGACAAAAATGAGAAAATCCCTGTCCTCAATGGAGCATACATTCTGGTGGGAGAGCATGTGTTGTCTGTTTGTGGATACAACTTGTTCAGAAAAAGGCAAATACTATCTTTATGTACATCAAGGGGACAGCCCTGATCAACTGATATTCCTTCCCTAGTTAATGAAATCATAGAATGATCATGTAGCAGAGACAACCAGTCATTTCTTTCTTAAAAGAAGTGAAAAGATGGGTCTTCACTTTGTTGCCCCTTTTCAACGTGTGAAAAAATGTTGATGGAATCAGAGGAGCAAGGGTGGCTATGGACAGGTCATCCGTCCTGGTCTTTCTGGAAAGGAAGGAAGGAAGGAAGGAAAGAAGGAAGGGAGAGAGAGAAATAGGGGAGGGAGAGAAAGAAGGAGGAAGGGAGGATGGAAGGAAGAAAGAAAAGATGGAAAGAAGGAGGGAAGAAGGGGAGAAAGGAAGAACGCATTCTGTGGAGACAGAGATAGGCAGAGGAGGAAGCAACCATTTTGAAAACTGTAGTGTCTGGAAATCTAGAAGCAAACCGATGGAAGAAGAACCTAGCTCCTGAAAGGGGATCATCCTTTGCCTTTTTACTTGTGCTTCTACGAGAGGACAGCAGTGGTGGGGCAGGGAGAAAAGAGTTCCTGAATTTGTCATGACATCGTGGAGTGTTGTTTCTCACGTAAAAAGAGAAATTATGCCCAATCAGCAGGGGAAATTCTGAGGAGAGTGACTCCTGGAAGCAGAGAAGGCAGCTAGCTATTTATGTAAGAAAGTATAAGTCTGAGCATTTGGGAGCCCAGCTATCTAAGAGAACAGGTCAGGAGAGCCCATCCAAGCAATGGGTCTACCAGAAATGCTGCTGCACTTGGTAGGGAAAAGTGGGGAGCAGCATTGAGGACATCACAAGAAGAGAAAAGACACCAAGGCCCTGCAGTGTCCAAAGCATGAGTTCCCTACATATGTGCAATACTAGTGTTGTACTGCATATATGAACCCACTCTTCCCACTGTGTTTATGGATTTGTGCATATTGAGGAGGGATGTTCCCTAACTACTGTTCTTACTGTATCATCTCAAGAAATGCCTTTATTGTTGTTGCTGTTCAGTCATGTCTGATTCTTTGTGACCCCATTTGAGGTTTTCTTAGCAAAGACCCTGGAGTGGTTTACTATTTCCTTCTCCAGCTCATTTTACAGAGGAGGAAACTGAGACAAAGGGGGTTAAGTGAATTGCCCAGGGTCCCACAGGTGGTTAAGTATCTAAGGCCAGATTTGAACTCAGAAAGATCAAGCTTCCTAACTCTAGTCCTGGCACTTTATCCACTGTTCCGCTTAACTGCCTATAAATGCCTTTACATTGAGACAAATGTGTCTACTGGCTGACTATTACAGGTAAGACTACCAGTGATGGCTTGTGGGCTGTAGTTTTTAGGAGTATGGGGTAGTTGTCAACCCTACCTCCCCAGCCAATGTTATAGTGCAGGTGCCCAGTAGGGGAGTATCCCCAGAGGGAGTGCCGCATACAAAATAATTACAAAGTGACTTGGGAGAAAGTTCTAACAACCAGGGAAATCATGACAATCATCTTGTAGGCTGAGCATGGGCTCAGCCTTGAAGGAAACCATGTGTTCCAAAGGGTGTATGTAAGGATGGACACATAGGACCTATAGGGGCCAGGAGGGGCTTGTGATGGGGCATTCTCTCTAAACATTCTGACCCCCCACTGCTTTGTGACACCCCTCACCCCTCCACTCTCTTCTTCTAGTGTTATCTAGAGAGACATTTCCACAAACATATACCCAAATATTTGGAACTCCATTCCTTGTCAAATACAGGGCAAGAAAAACGTACCTTTGAAGTATGTCTATTGTAGGAACCACAAAAGTAATGAGTAATTTTGACTGGATACATTTATTTTCTAAAGCTTGTCTTTGTAAACCTTGAACATTTTGGTATGAAATAACCTTGCAGAAAACAAGGACGTTCTTTGGTGCCTCTTCGTGAGGAATGGGCTTTCCTTTTGAGTGCCACAAGGTTTATTTAAATCGTGCAAAGAATGTGCTCTTTTTAAAAATCCTAGAGTAGATGTTGTCTGAGTGTTAATTAAAATAGAAGTTCTTGCAAATGTTGACACGTGTACATGTGCGGCCAGATACCAGCAAAGATCTTTCATGGTTGTTGTGGGTAGGATGGGGGTGGCGAGGGGTGGCCCTGGTACAAAACTTGATCCAAATGACTTCCAAGGTGTTGTCCAACTGTAAGATTCCAAGATAATAGAGATCTCTGATTTAAGGTGATAACATATATAGAAAACCTTTATCTTTTATGTTTATTCCAGTCCAAACCTGTTACATATTATTAAAGTGATGTTAGATTTTATTTTTTTAATATTTCAGTTTTAAGTAATTCAATGTTATTGAGAAATAGTACCACATTTTCTGCAGAATCTTTTTTTTCCTTCTAATTTCCTGATTTTTCTGGTCCTTTGTCTTGGACTATGTCAGCTTGGACATTTGGAGTGTGGCTCCAGGAATCAAAGAATGCCCAAAGGAGGAAAGCAATCAGTGGGCAACTTCAGGCACCTTGGATGCATGTGCTCTATAAATCTGAATGGAAAGCCAAGGGCTCTTACGCATCCTGAGTGGGATGGCAGGGTGTGAATGCAGTCACAATCTTCAGGGCTGCAGACAGTACCCACACCAAGGAGCTCGAACGCATTCAAACACTGAAGCATCACTAGTGTCTCCAAGAAAATGTTTCCCTGGTTTTGTGCCAGTCCTTACACTGCCTGGTACATAGTAGGTGTTTAACAAGTGCTTATTGGTTGATTTGTTCTGTTTCCTGTGCCCACTTCCTTTTGTGGTCATTGGTGGCAACACGCTACTCTGAACACCTGCTCTGCCTCTCTCCCTTGCCTTTTGGTTTAGCAGTAATGGTGATTCTTTGGGATGCCCTGATTCAAAGCTCAATGGCAACAAAGGAGAACTCCTGAATCCTTCCAGGACCCATATTTCATTGGGGTGAGTCCTACATGTGTAGATGAAGCTGACAATCCCTTCATCGATTAGGAGCTTTGGGAGCTGAAAAATCTCCCCACCCACCCACTTAGTCTATGACAGTTTCTTCTCCTTCCTCTCAAGCCAGCCCTCCTTGTCACTACCATTGCCCCAAAGTTAGGACCCACTAATTATCTGGACATTTCATTTGGCTTTCTCCTCTCCTTTTACCAGGGCTGATCTTCTGGCTTTATAATCTAGTCACCCAGAGCCCTGCTAGGTAACTGAGGATAAAAATGGATCAAGTCTGATTCACAGTCATTTGCAAAGGGGTGTGTTTATCTGTTATCCTTCCCTGATAACATCTATGCTTTATCTGGAGGCTGGGCTTTATCCAACAAGGTGAATAATAGTGGAAACCTCAGGCAGCAGAGTGGATATAAATGGAAATTTAATCATAATATCATCAGTTTAAAGCTAGATGAGATTGTAGAGGCCATAACTCTCCAAACTTCTCCACATCCATAGCAGTAGCTTTGCCCAGCTCAAGATGACCCTACTGTGGGCCTGCCGTCCTGATCGGTGCATCTCCCTGCCATGATCGTCATTTCATGCAGGGGCTTCAGCCATACTCATTTCACTCCCTGCTTAATTCAGACACTGCAGTGCTCACATCCACACTAGCAGGCTTGGCTCTGGGGAGGTTCCCTTCCCCCATCTTTCTAATTCCCCCTTTTGTCTTCCCCTGTTACTTACGACAACAACACCCACTGAAGAATGGAGACCATCTTGTTTTCTTGTATTTGTATCCTTAGTACTTAGCACTGTGGCTGGCACAATATATGCAGCTAGTGTATACTGGATGGGAAAAAGTCTTCCTTTTGCCTGTATGCCAGGTTTTTCTATTCATAAATTGGCTAATAGGAATAGAAGTCAGATTTAAGACAGAAAAATTAGGACTCACAGTAGGTTAGTAGTTGGATGGATTGTTTATAGCTTGGCTTCTCCCAAGATGAGTGAGGTCAGTGTTGCATCACTAGCACGTTGGCTGAAGATTTTCAGTGTGGAAAAAAAAAAGGAAAGAAATGGCACAGTGAAAATATCTCTTAACGCAAAGCTGGAAATGTGTTTTATTTATGATCTTGGTGACTTAATTGATTTTCATGCCAGTGTCTCAGCTTTGTTGGCATAACTCTGGTTTTTCTGATCATTTCATTTCATCCACATAAGACTTTCTATCTCATATTGCCATGCGTGAATAGAAATTTAATAATTGGGAAGATAGATATTTTCTATTGATATTTCACCCTGCAGCTGTCTGACAGAATTGGAGAAAAGTTCCATGTTAAACTTTCCCAAAGACTGAAGAGCGCCTGAAATTTGCAAATGCATAAAGAGATTCAGTTGATTTAAAATTCAGTCTGTTATTAAAGACTGAATTAAGATGGCTGTGAAAGAACAGCCCCAGGTGTGTGACTCGGCATCTGGAAGTGCTACATTTAATGTTTATGCAAGAGTAAGTCTTTTTTTTTTTCTTCTAATTTTATTTAAAAAAGTGATTAGCACCTTGCCTGTACAGTTCCAAAGTTTTTTTTTTTGTTTTTTTTTAGTGGTAACACTGCATACAATTTAAAGACCTTTTTTTTCTCCTTCAAAATTTGTCGTACTTAGACAAAAGTTCTTTTGCTCACCGATGTAATGTATTCACTGCCTACCATTTGTAAGTGCCCCTGGGTAATGTGTCAGAGAGGCGAGTGAGCTCATTGAGAGCGTCAATGGACCTGATCACATTCGAAGATGTATCATTGGCACTTCTGCCAAATTTAGGTCTTACATTGGGTCTTGTGTTTAATGACCCTGTACTCCACTACTTTGGGTCCTTTTCTAGGACTTTGGCTCAGTTTGCATACAAATGTCAGCCCGTGGTTTGGCTGCAGGTGGGGCTTCTTACTGGAATGAGTTAGCCAAAAGAATAGGCTTTTCCAAAATCTAAAACAAAAGAGTTTGATTATTATCAGGAAGTCAAGGAAATAGAAGGCACCTCCTTGGGAAAGGTAGGAACTGGTGAAACCTGAACAGTCCTTTTCTTGCTGTTATGAGAAGCTGCTAATAGAAATGACAGGCGGGTGGGGGCAGACCTACCGAGAGCAGATTGACCTTTTAGGAGGAAAATCCCAAGTCCCTCCCCTTCCAGCTCTGTGCCAAGAAGATGCTAGGTTGCTCTAAGAAAGAGCTATCATTCCTTCCAGATCTCAACAAAGCTTTCACTGGCTCCTCTTCTGCATATTTTAACCAAGCATTTAAAATTCATAGAATCAGACAGGGTGCAAGAATGTCGAGCATCCTTTGGACCAAGTCTTTGAAGTGTTGTCATCCCAATTTAAGAAATGAGGCAGGGAATGTGAAGAATCACAAAGGGGAGTACCTAGTCCAGATGACCATAGATGTAGATGTTGGTGGACCTCAGAGATCATTAGTGTCAATTCCTCATTTTACTTATAAGGAACCTGAGACCCAGAGAGAAGACCCTCCCCTAATCACACAGTTAATAAGGAACAGAGGATTAAGTCTGGATATAGGACGCAGAGTCTTCTAAAGGTCTTCTAACTCTGAAGTCAATGGTCTTTCCACAGGACTATGCTGTTTCCCTCTACCTTATTTGGAATCAGAAGTCCTGAATTTTGAGTCCTAGATCACTAGGCCACTAGCTCAGTGACCTTGGACAAGTCACTGGACTTCTGTGAGGTTCAGTCTCTTCATTTGTAAAATGGGGAGAATAATAATAATGCTACCTATTTTACAGTGATCTTATCAAGTTGAAATGTGAAATATAAGGGGCTCTTATGGAAATGTGGATTCTTTCTTGACATCTCTCGTTCTCTGTAGCAAACTATTTTGAAAATCCTAAGTGAAAGGGTCACTGAACTATCTGGTCCAATCTCCTCATTTTACAAGTGAGGCTCAGTAGGGGAAGTGATTTGCCCAAGGTAATACTGGTAATAATAAGAATAACAATAGAAATAGTAAATAGAATTTATATAGTACTTTAAGGTTTTACAGAGCTCCTTCCATGTGTTAACTCAATATATCCTCACAACATCCCTATATGGTAGGTGCCATTATTATCCTCATTTACAAATGAGGAAACTGAGATGGAGCAAAGTTCAGGGACTTGCCCAGGGTCACCCAGTAAATTTCTGAGGCTGGACAGTGTGAATTAGAGGAGCTTCCTTTAGATAGTAACAGAAGAAGGCTTTTCATCAAAATTCCCATTTTTCTTTGATTGGAAGACTTTTTTTGAGGGAACCACTCTCCACTCCAGTTTAGAGCAGGCTTTGGGGGCACAAGCAGTTTTGAAATGTCCTACTTAAAGAAATAACTGGAGTAGGGTATTTGGGGCTTTCACTCCAAGTGCAAAAGTGAAATTACTATTCTGGCAGGGGTAAAAAAAAAAAAAGCACAAAACAAACAAACAAAACAACCTAAGTTTAGCATTTGGTCTGCAAGAAGTATAGGAGTGGAGCCATCATTGGTGAGGAAACCCCCTCTAGCAATGCAGGTCCCCATTTTCTCTTCAAGGCTTAAACCTAGAAAGCAGCCCAGAGCAGTCAGTGACTTTCCCAGGGTCACCAAGCCAATATATCAAAGACAGGGCTTAACATCAGGGTTTCTTGAAATCAAGTTTGAGGCTAACTATTATGCACTACTACCTGTTAGCAAGAAAAACTGGCTAAAACAGGAAGCAACCTCCTTTTTTTCCTATTCCTCAGGTGAGCATGTCTGTGGCAGTGGCCTCCTGGCTTTTCAGGTCCCTGTCTCCTCTATCATTCCACAGAGAAGTCATCTGGGTCACTGCCTCCTTGAGAGTTGGTGTCCTAAGGCTCCTGTTGAGTCTCTACATCTCCTCCTGCCTGAATTTGATTCAAGGGCACAGGTAAATGTGGCTTACCTTGTTTGCCCTCAAAAAATCAGACTCGTTAGTGACAGCTGTGGTGCTGTAGAGCTTTGAATCTGGAGGCATCTTCAGTGCAGCGAAGTCATGACTGCCAGCATCAAATGAATTAACAGGCTTGATCTGGGCTAAACAGGGCCACTCTGAGAGAGGAGGGCATGAACAGAGAATGGAGGCATGACTCACAGAGCACCCCGAGGGTTCAGGAAGCCGAGGATGGAATGGAAGCCAATCATCACTTTTGTCAGGGTTCAGATCTGCGTTGTCCTAAATGAGGGTCCACGTCTTGCTAAGCCGATGGCGAGGGCTGCTGGCTGAGGGAATCACTGGCAAGTTAACAATGAACTGCAGCTAAGGCAAAAAATTGGTTATTTTTGAAATGAGGTCAGGGCATGGGAACATCCCCCTCTGTTGTATAATTGAGAACCCATTTCCCTGTAAGGCAGTTTCACTTCATATAAAACATTCCCGGCAAGCACCGTTTTGCCTACCTCAGCACTCCCGGCTTGGGGTAAATAATTCAGAAGCTAAATGTTTCATCTCCATGGCCTCGTGTTCCATCGGCACTTTCCTCTCTGTGGGAAGAACGTGGGGGGACATTTTAAATATTGAAATCCCTGAACTCCTGTTGAGTCTTACGTGGGAGCCTAAGAAGTGTACACTCAGGTAGAAGAAGCTGATTAGATAATAATATTGTTTTTGTTCTCTGGTGTTAGCATTGTTTGAGTGAAAAAAAGAACACCCTGGAGACATGATTGAAATTTTTAACAGAAGGAAAGGTAAATTTATAATTCAAGAGAACTGTTTTTGAGGGTTTTTTTTAATAAAGAGTTTCTCTTTCCATCCATTGGGATGGTCGTTAGCATAACAGGACCTACTTATTATTATGATCATATCACATTATTATTGGAGGTATTATTTATAGAATGCTGGTTCTTCCATTTATCCCTGACACTAGCCTGGTGACCCTGAGCAAGTCTCAAAAGTTGTTGAAAGTCTGCCATGAAGTAATGGACACAGAGGCCTCGCAAACTCTCAAGTGGGGAAAATTTCAGTTATTATTTTCTTCGTCCTCATTTTTTGTCATCTTTTTGGATAGGCTTCAGAAAGAAATTCTTTTGAGAAGTCACTCTCCTATTATTCTTTTCTACTTAGTGTTCAATGGATTTTTGTCCAGGTGATACAATTCCTGCTTTCTGTAACGAAGTTAAAAGCATTAGCAAGTCAGCTCCTCCAACGCAGGCTCAATGCAAACATGCTTGGGTCAGTTCTAGTAGCCAAAAGGATGATGGGTATACGCTCCCTCGTGGTGTTGCTATCCTCTTCACAGTCTCTCTATTTTGACAGGCTTTTGTTCCAGGAGCTTAGAGATGATTACCACTTGGGATGGTGACATCTATTCAAAACACCTTGTTCTTATGTTCTGATTCCATTTCCTGTTCAGGTCATCATAGGCAACATCTCTGTCTGTGTTAGTGGTCAGGTCCCAGGATGGTTTATTGGCTGCATTCACCTGGATGTTTTTCGGTCAGTATTTGTAGAATGGGGTTTTGCTGTCTGTTCATCCCTGAAGGAGAATGAACTTCTGCTAGGTATTGCTACCCACCAAATGGTGTCTGATTAAGTCTGTGCAGTTGCAAAACATAGCCACCAGAAACTACAGTCCAATCACTGTAAGGAGAACCACTCTATAGCTTCTGGTGGCTATGGTTTACAACCACCATTATCATTGTTATTAGATATTCTCCAGGCATTTATATATTAGAAATGAGATCAGAACATCACATGAAAATATATCCTCTTATGGACATTTCGATATGCTTATGTAAAAAATAGTGGTAGGTGCCATATTTATTTGTTGAAGGAATTGATGACTGAGATCAAGATAACTTGATCAGCTCATTTTTTAGTGAGTGTTAGTGTTCTGGGAAGATGCCCATGCAAAGTTGTTGGATTGGATGGCATTATTATGCTTATGTCTTTTTTAATCCAAAAAGATTTGAATGATGTCTACTGTGTGTGTGAAGGGCTATCTTATACAGATGAAATTACAGCTCTAGTCAAAAAAAAAAAATCAAGGCACCGTCCTAGGTATAGGGAACACAACTGACAAAAATCAAACCATCCCTGTCCTTAAGGAACTTACATTACTTTGAAATCCATGACGTATTCTCAGACAAGCAAGTGAAAGGTCATTGGAAGAGGGAGAGAGGAATAGAAGATGAGTAGCATCATGGAAGGCTTCTGGGAGGAGGTGGCACTTAGCAGCCACTTGCAGGTAAGGATTCTAATAGGGGAGCAGGGATTCCATTCCAGGCTTGGGGATCAGCTCATGGGAATGCACAGGGACATGGATATGAAGATCATTCATTTTGACTTGAATGTAGACTGAGTAGAAGACAAAAATGTGGAATGAGCCTGGAAATTTGGGCTATTGGGGAAGATATGCTTTTACTCTCCAGGAATATAGGCTATTTCTAATTTTAGTGTCCCAGAAAATTGGCTGTCTCAGTTAAATGTTCTCACTTTAGGTTTCGTGTGTGTGTGTGTGTGTGTGTGTGTGTGTGTGTGTGTGTGACATAGAACTATTTCTTCACTATCAGTGCTCTCTGACTGCTTACTGGTAGGTGGATTCAACTAGTCCTTTGAAAACTACTTTTCCATGGAAAACAGAAGTCTTCGTATCAGTTCATGATTTTGTTGATGTGGAAATACCTTACCTCAGTTTAGAATCTTGCCTTGCGCTCCTAATTAAGCAGCAACCATATGTGTAATTAGTGGTGCTCCCCAGCTGTGGCCTTGTTGGAGGCCTCTCACAGATCTGCTGCTGGTGCTAGGCTCTTAATTGGCCTTTGTTACGTATGTCCTGGTGCATGGGAACTGTGATTGGAGTCCCAGGTGGGGGCTCACTAGATAGGTGTAATTCTTCTGCATTATTTTGAAATATTTCAGTCAAAGAATTAGGGCTCTCTGGTTATGTTATGGTTTTTTGGTCTTTTTTATGTTTTGGACTGAGCATGCTTGATTTTAGACCTACAGCGAATGGAGAAGCATTTACAAATTGTTCCTATGTGCCAAGGACAGTTCTAAGGTCTGGAATACAAAACCCAAGAGCAAAGATAGACTCTGTCCTCAAGTAGTTTATGGTATAATAGGGAAAGCATCACGTTTAGGAGATGAGGTCCAGGGAAGGGTATATTCATATAAACTATTATAGGGATAACTAGTGGAGTTGTAGGAGAGTAGATTGCCACATGCCTTCTGGGAGTAATAGCAGTATTGATATGATTATTGTTTTCAATCTAGAAAGAAGGTGGGAGCAATGGGGGAGGAGAAGAATATGGGGCAGCAGGAAGGTGGCAGGCAACACTCTGGCTGGGGGTGGAGCGTCACAGAAAGTGGTCAGAACGCTGGCTCTGAAGTCAGAACGCTTGAGTTCAAAGCCCACCTTATTACCTTTGTGACCTTGGGCAAAGTCATTCAACCTCTCTAGCCTCAGTTTATTCATCTGTCATAGTGGGATAAATGTCCTCTAAGACCTCGTCAATTCAAGAACTATGATTGTAGAATGCATGGAACATGGAGAAGAAAGATATGAGAGAAGGCAAGAAAGTTATGCTAGGGCCATAGTGTTGAGGGCCTTGAACACAGCTGAAATAGTTAGGCACTTACCTGCTGAGCAGAATGTGGGAGACTTTGTGAGACCATCTAGTCCAGCCTCCTCATTTTACACATTAAGTGACCAAAGCGGGATTTGAACACAGCTCCTGTGACTCCAAAGCCAGTGCCCTTCTCATTGTGCCATGCTCATCCTCTAAAGGAAAGATTCGTAACTATTGTCATCATCTTCCACTTACAAAAGTTCAAATCTTGTTCCTTGGGCCATTTTGTGGATTGTTTTCTGCTCTTTCTTCCCCACTGGCCGTCAAAGTAAAATTCTATGTTAGTCCTATTCTCATTTTTCTAGTCAGTGACAGGCTCAGATCCTGCCCCAGGTCTGCTCACCTGGTCCATCACTCTTTCCCCCACACTATGTGTACTTGGTTGACTTGAGTGAATGCCATGTACATCATAAAGAGCCCTGGCCTGGGGAGTCTTGAGGCATGCTTTCTAATCTCACCTCTGGGACTGACAATGGGTGGTTTTAGATGCATCAGTTTTATTCACAAGCATTTATTAGGTGCTTACCATGTGCAAGTCACTTTGTCAAGGGCTATGGTTTCTGAGGCAGAAACCAAACCATCCCTGCCATCAAGAATATCCATTCTAATATTCTCATGTGCAGAGTGAAGAAGGTAGGCTGCATGAGCTCCCTGGTCGATTCCAGCTCCTGAAATGCGATGGCTAGTAGTGACAGGCATAAGGTTAGCAGACACTGCTGAGGCAGGAGCAGAAAGATCCCTGGTCCTCCTTGCTTTTGGGTCAAAGTCCTCTTTCAAGCTTGGCTTTCCAAGAGAGTTGATGTGCAGTAGGGATGCTTAAGTTCTTCCAGGTCATCTGATCCCAGATCTGGCATTCTTTATGTTACATCATGTTTAGTGTTTTCTGCCCTGATCTTCCTACAAAGCAAATTCCAAACTCCTGTCCCTGGCATTCAAGGCCCTCAACACTATGGCCCTAGCATAACTTTCTTGCCTTCTCTCATATCTTTCTTCTCCATGTTCCATGCGTTCTACAATCATAGTTCTTGAATTGAAGAGGTCTTAGAGGACATTTATCCCACTATGACAGATGAATAAACTGAGGCTAGAGAGGTTGAATGACTTTGCCCAAGGTCACAAAGGTAATAAGGTGGGCTTTGAACTCAAGCGTTCTGACTTCAGAGCCAGCGTTCTGCCCACTTTCTGTGACGCTCCACAGTACGCACTGTGTGCTTTCACTTCTGTGTCTTGCCTTGTGCTGTTCTCTTGTAATTCCTGACCTCTCCATCTTTGTTGAATTCCTCCCCATGCTTTAGAACCCACTTCACATTCTACTTCCTTCTTTGCTCCTTCCCTTCCTTTTTCCATTTCTTCCCTCCTTTTCCTCCTCTTACCCTCCTTCTTACCTTCCCATCTTTATATATACTCCTTCCTTCCTTCCTTCCTTCCTTCCTTCCTTCCTTCCTTCCTTCCTTTCCTGTACTCCCTAATCTTCTCAGTAAATAATACTTATTTCTTTTGGACCTCACAAAGCATTTAATTTTTTATTTAAAAAAATATTGTTGTTATTCAATCATTTTTCACATCTGACTCTTCATGATCCCATTGGAGGTTTTTTTTAGCAAAGTTACTGGAGTGGTTTGCAATTTCTTTCTCCAGCTCATTTTACAGATGAGGAAACTGAGGCAAACAGACCTGCCTAGGGTCATATAGCTTGTAAGTGTTCAAGGCCAGATTTGCATTGAG